TTTTAAGACAGTCTCCTACACTGAGCAAAGAATGTTCCCAATTTTTTTCCTTTAATCTTTTAAAACACGTGTGCATGCCTCTGGTAACTTTATACTTACTTAACTGCTACTAATATTATTATCCGAACTTCTAATAATAATGATGATGAAGAAGAATTAAGAAGTTATTACATGCTTATGTACTAGGCCCTGTCCTAAACACTTTATACATATCTCTTATTTGGTCATCACAGCGATGCTAAGAGATGGGTACAATTACTACCCCCATTCTACAGTTAAGGGCACTGAGCACAGAGAGGTTAGCAATTTGGCTAAGGTCCCAAGCTGGACAGTCCAGTGTGATGCCAGAACATGTACTCTTAATTGTTAATATTTACCATGTTCTGTTGGGACCTCTTAGTACCAGATGTGTATTTTCAAGCTTTAAAATGTACTTCACTCCCTAATGCAGTGGCTAAGGGCGTGAGCTCTGAGTCAGCCCGCCTGGCTCTGACCTTGGCTCTCCTACCCTTGCGAGAGATTCAACCTCCTGCAGCCTTATTTCCTGTGAGGTAAATAGGGAATTGTCATCGGGAATCACGGGGAACTAACGAGACAGACCCACCCAGAGGTTGTCTAACACACCTTACTACGGGAATGAAGATGATGATGTTTCATATTTTATACGAAACTTAAACTTTAAAAAACTAACTGCATATTTTAACTTTATAAATTGTCTCTGCTTTCAGGAAGAGCATCTGCTACACACACCTCTCATTTTTGTTCTGTCTTGTTTTCCTTTTGCTTTTAAGACATGAAATTGTCAACATTAACCTGAGAAACAAGCCTGAATGGTACTATGCAAAGCACCCTTTTGGCCAAATTCCTGTCCTGGAGACCAGCCAATGTCAACTGATCTACGAATCTGTCATTACTTGTGAGTACCTGGATGACGCTTATCCGGGAAGGAAGCTGTTTCCATGTGACCCTTATGAACGAGCTCGCCAAAAGATGTTATTGGAGCTATTCTGTAAGGTATATTCAATTTAAAAAGCCACTTACATTCTATTTTATTTTGTATGTCTTTCCCAAACATCAACCCACTTTAAAGTCAAATCATCGGTGTAATTGTTTTGTTTTAATAACCCATGAGTCTCAGGAGAGTAACTGGCATAGAATTAGTGTAGGATATGACCACTGATATTATTATTATTATTATTGTTGAAGTGGGGAGACAGAATCTCCCTCTATTGTCCAGGCAGGAGTGTAGTGGTGCAATCACAGATCACTGCAGCCTCCAACTCCCAGGCTCAAGCGATCCTCCTGGCTCAGCCTCTGAGTAGCTAAGATTGTAGGTGCATGCTACCACACCTGGCTAATTTTTAAATTTTTTTTTTTGTGGAGATGAGGTCTCGCTATGTTACCCAGGCTGGTCTCGAACTCCTGGCCTCAAGCGATCCTCTCTCCTCGGCCTCCCAAAATGGTGGGATTATAGCCACTGTGCCCAGCCTTGACCACTGATATTAAAGGTTAAAGGCGTAACTGCTAGGGTGCTTTTCCATTTCAACTAGCGGTCTCAGGAGATATGGTTGTGACATGTCAAATGACGATGTGACTTGACATAGGAATATTGAAAGAACTGAAAACTGGTGATCCTTTAAAGAGAATATTTATCAGGCTTCAGGTAGAAAATACTGGAATGTAAAGAAGACTATACATGGAAGGGGATTGCCCGTTATAGGGGCAAGAGTGCTGTCCGGGAAATGTGAAGAATCGAGAAAAGAGGGCAGCTGTTGATAGTAGGAGAAAAGGGATGGAGAAATTTTTAGATCTCTTTGAAAAGAAGTAAAAATAACTCAATGATATTAATAGCTGACATATATTGAGCACTTACGATATGCCGAGCACTGTCCTAAGTAGTCTGTAGAGGCTAACTCATTTAACCCTACAACTGCCCTTTGAGGTGGGTACTGTTCTTGTATCCATTTTTCAGATGAGAATACTGAGGCCTAGAGAGGTTAAGTGTCCACCTAAAAATGTACATCATGGAAGCAGCTGATAAGTAAAGAGCACTGGTGCAGCCCTGTTAAAGCACCTCCTTTCACCAGGGTACTGTGAGAAGCAGATTCCTGGAAGCACAGAGATAACTTAGTACTCCTCGCAGGAAGGGGGAGTCCGTATGGGGGTGTCAGCCTGTTACGTTTGAATTATTAATACAAAGCTACTGCGCATTTGTAGGCAGAGTGGGAACATGAAGTTCCCGCAGAGTTCTCCACTAAGAATCTGTGTCCTCTGATCAGGTCCCACAGTTGACCAAGGAGTGCCTGATAACGTTGAGATACAGGAGAGATTGCACCGATCTGAAGATAGCCCTGCGTCAGGAGTTCTGCAACCTCGAAAAGGTACAAAAAGGGGCCGTTCTCCTGGTCAGAGGCAATGAGGGAGGAAGCCATGTGGGGTTGCTAAACTGGCTATGCTGACACCTTCTGCTTTCACAGGCTTATTCTTCTTGCCAGACTTTGATAAGTTCAGCATCTAGTCATCTGATGTTAACTTGTGCATGCTTGCCCTCCACTAACCTGCTCTGGGATTATTCTGGAAAATCTAGTGAGGAGTGGGGGAGGATGTGTGGTGAATTGCTTCCTTTCCTGGAGTCACCACATTCCCTAAGTACCTTTTCAGGGCTTCTGTAGCTTCTGCCAACGAGGCCAGGGTCTGGATTGGTTAGAAATTGTGTTTGGCTGCCTAACTACTGTAAATTTATGTTATAATGGTTTATTCTGCCACATAAAAAAGCCAGAGGTAGGCAGTTCAGGGCTATTTAGATGGCTTCTTCATGAAGTTACCAGGGACCGAAGCCCTTTCTCTCTATTGCCTCTGTCATCCTCAGTGCAAGGCTTTCATCCTCTGAATGACAAGATAGCTGCTGGAACTGCAGCCATCACATGCAAGTTCCAGGCTCTGGAAAGGAGAGCAGAAAGGAAAAAAAAAAAAATGACAAACAGCCATGCTCCTATAAAAGGCTTCCCCAGAAATCCTACCTAATGACTGTTTACATTTCATTGGCCAGAACTTAGTAGTAGAGTCCTAATTATCCACAGGGGAGGCTGGGAAATTTAGTCTTCTAGCTGGGACACCCTGAATAAAATCAGGGGCCTGTAATTAAGGAAGAAGGGGAAAGTGGGCAGGAACAATCTCTACCAGTAGGTCCTTCATTAACCTGGCAGGAATGGAGCCACATACCCCTTGCCTCTAGAGCAATCCGGAGGGTGGTTCTTTGACTTCCTTTATCTTTGTTCTAGAAACTGATAAATTCCCCTTATGGGTGAGTTGTTCCTATGTTGGCAGCCAGAGAATGCTATTTTTACCCCCTTAAGGGAAGACTGGTTATTAATACTCTTCCATTTGACTTTTATCAAGTGGATGCAGATGAAATTTATTTATATTTCCAGTTGCCTATCTTAGATTTGTACAGTTGCAGTATGCAGTATTTATGGATGATGAATAGTCACGTGGAAGAATGTCAGCCTTTTGTCTTGAGGCCACAGACCGTGACCTTGACTTTGAGGAGTCAGTATGATGTGGTGGAAAGATTCTTGGATCTTAGGCTTGGCTTTACTGGATTCCAGAGCCATGGGCAAGGTTCTGGACCTGTCTGGGCCTTAGTTTCCCCATGCGTGAAGCAAGGGAGTATTTCGAAAGTTGTGCTTCTCACAGCCTGCAGGTTCTGCGGGGGTACTGCCCAGCAAGGGAAGGCCTGGGGGATAGATAGTTCCAGATCCTGCTTCACCCAGATCAGTGCTCCTTTTAACCACCATGTTTACCATGACATCTCTTAAGATAGCACTTGGGGGAAGGGGGGAACTGCTGCTTTACAACAGAAGTTTGAAAACTCTTGTGAATAGAGAATCTTAGAAGTATGTATGTCTGTCTATACGTTTGTATGTATTTATTTGAGATGGGTCTTGCCATGTTGCCAGGCTGGAGGGTAGTCACTGTTCACAGGCACAACCATAGCATACTA